TTTGTTGAATAAAGCAGGGGGTTAGGTTCTTGTGCACCTGCCTGGTCCATTATATGCAAGGACCTCTGCATGGACATGTTCATACCGTGCCGCCACTTGTGACTTTTAGGCGGTGGACCTAGGACCTCGGAGGCTCGGGACGTCTCCAACGCGCAAAAGCTTTAATTACTTTGCGCGCTTGTGTGTGAAACCCTTGGAATCGAAGGGAACCTGCCGGTTTTTTCAAAGCAGGGGGCCACCAACGAAGACACTCTCGCTTTCCTGGTGATACTGGGACTGATCATCCCAGCGTCTCGGCCTTCATGTCCTGTCATCTCATTCCGTTCCTTCTTTTGTCCGGCCCTTAGTGTGTACGCGCACATTTACATTTACATTCAACCCAGGCTTCAGGTCGCCCAGGTTTTGAAAATGAGGTTGGTTCATTGGTTGTCCCTGTGCGTTTGGTTTCCCTTTCATCGCAATCACACACACTTGTCTTGGCTTGTCTTATTCTCATGTCTTCCTCCTTTTGTCTTTTGTGCGCACACACGTGCACACTAGTCTGCCCCTTAGTTTTTAGGCCTTTGGCCCCCCACATCGGGGGCGTGTGAAAAGCCACTTGCCACTTGCCACGCGCCCACCTATAGGTATGAAAACCTAGGAAGTCAGGGTAAAGGTCACACGGTTTGACCATCGTGTCGTGATATGACTTTGGGATGCCCAAGCCACGCACCTGCTTGTTCAGGTTCTGATTTCACGGGAGGCGCAGAAGCCTCAGATTTGTGGACAGGTTCGAGGTGGTTGTGCATTAATCCAGTCACGCAGTAGAAACGTGCACCGTGACAACGCCCCAATTTCCACCGCTGTGGTTTGCTTCCATGGTTTTTTTCACCCCAGTCCCCAAAACAAATTTTCCCGCTGACTGCAGCCGCGCCACCGCAGACTCTGAGCGTTTCTTCGAAACACATTGTCGAAACACGTTCAACTCCGCTGACTCAGCCGCCTTTCCGTTGCAGCGTTCCTTTCACTGTGGGTTATCTTTACTGAATGAACCATATCGAAGCGTGTGTGTGTGTCACACCCTGTTCCACAGGTTTTTCTCGAACTTTTTGTGATTTAATCTAAGGCACGGGGTGCCAGAGATGCACACTGGACTGGCACCAACGAAGACGCCAGCGTCGCATCTGTGAAGTCGATCCGGGACGCTGGATCGACGTGCCTGCGGCTTGCATTTTCGGTGAATCTAAGTATGGCCAAATCTCCTTGTTAACATGTTTGTTTCGCAGTAACCGTCTAGGGCACTAAAGTGGTAATGCGCTGTGAGTCCGCTTCTGAACTTACGCTCGACCCGTTGAGCTTTATATCTATGTGTGTTCAGCGGCATCGTCCCACTGTGGTGTGCCGTGTGATCCCTTCAGGGCGCTGACTTCGGAAAGGTGAACATGCTGATTGATTCTTTCGCAGCCGGATTCAGCTTCTGATCAAATGTTTTTCAAGAAAACAGTTGCTCTAACACCGTCGGGCTTACGGAATTTTTTTTGAGTAGTTCACGCACGCCTCTGAGGTTTTCTTTTAAGCCATTTTTGCTAAAGAATATTTAGGTGTAGCTGAGGCTTTCTTCAGGCACAAATGCGCTGGATTCGGCTTTATGACCAAGTGTCGTTAATGTGAGTGCACACACCCCACACAGCCTCGCACCCCCTTTCACTCCTGGGCCTTCTTCGTTTGCTGGGTTTTTTTTTCTTCCGCCTTGTTAGGTTCTTCTTCAGGCTCGTTTAGTCGACCCACCACCCCAAACCAACCTTACCCCTCAGCTTTTGTTTCCTTCCTTACTGCCTTTTGTTTTTCTTTATAGGCCTGTCTGTCCTCTAGGGCCTTGTAGGTGTGCAACCAGGATTTTTCAGTCAAGTGAGAGCTTGTTTTGTTTGGAGAGGTTTTCCTTCCTTTTTCGTTTCTCGTTCTAGGTCTTCCGTTCGTTGCTAAAGGCTTGTTAGGTTGTAGCGGAGGCTTTTTCAGAGCGCCGATGAACAGCCAATTGTGTGCACCACACCCTGTTCCAAAGGGTGTAGAAAGTCGACTCAATCTAAGGCACGGGGTGCCAGAGATGCACACTGGACTGGCACCAACGAAGACGCCAGTGTCGCATCTGTGAAATCGATCCGGGACGCTGGACCGACGTACCTGCGGCTTGCATTTTCGGTGAATCTAAGTATGGCCAAATCTGTTTTTCTTTGAAATTTTTCATTGTTTCACCCTGATCCCGTTTCTGAACTTATGCTCGACCCGTTCCGCTTTTTATCTAAGTGTGTGTGTGTGTGTATTTGCATGTGTGCGTGTGATTGATTCAGATTAAATTTCTCAGTGTGCGGTTAGTTTTTGGGTGCGTCAGAACCTGTCGGATTGTTTTTTTTGACTGTAGGCAATACAGCCCACGAAAGGGGGTTCTGTCGGCGTCGTCATCATACTTTACAAATCTTTAGAGATCTTTAGAGACACTATGAAGTCATATGTCAAACCGTCGGAAAGTGTGCACTGCCCTTGGTCTGGCTTTGTCCCTTGCTCCAGAAAACCTTCAACGCCATGATCGAGGGTTCTTCTCGGGAGAAGGCCGGAGGATGGACGCATGTGAATGTATTTGACGCTGGTATCGAAGACGTTGATCGGTAACTGTTTCAACAGGAACCGTTTGATTTTGCAAGACGGCACTTTACTCTGACCCCTCACCCTGAGCCTTACACCGTATATATAAGGATGGGCGACCATGTTCCAAGCGGCCTGCACCAACTGCGGGCCTGTCGACCTCAATGAATCATGAAGTTGAGAAACAAACAGATTCGCGGTAGAAAGAAACGTGCAATGCATTCCCTCCACAAGCAAAGATTGGATGGTGCTTTAGACATGACATGATCTGAACTGACCTTTTGGACGGAGGCCTTGGAGATTGTGATGCGCCATCCAGGAATCCTGGCTGCTGGCCCGGACGTGAAGGGAAACATGCTCCAGGCAAGCCAAGATTTTGTCCAGGAAAGATATCTTAAGATGTGAGAGGCCGGGGGGTCTAAGGGTCCAGGCCAGCAAGGACCGCCCCCAGGGAGTCCGTCCATTCGGGGTCTGGACCCGGTCTGACCCGAAAGGAGCTCGCCTTTCTAAAAGCTGCAAAACTAGTGAAAAACTCGAAAAACAATAGGAAACACAACGTGAAACATAGTACTATAATAAAATAGTAAAAATATGGAAGATTGGATGCAAAATAGGAAAACAGTAGGCCGCTTCGCCCGCCACCTCCACCCCGACCCCTCCGCCCATCACACTCTTGATCGTTTAGTTCGCCATAGTTCGCCTTACCTCTTCAAATTGTGGTGTAGATCCTTATTGCGGTATTCTTGCCTGGCTGCTTGTTTTGCGCTTTCTAGATTTGTGTGTCTTAGTCATTTTCCTAATGTTTACCCTATGTGCTGTGTTGTCTTTTTGTTTCCTAATGTTGATCCTATTTATCTTACCATTTTTTCACTGTTTTCTAAATTTACGATTTTCCCATTTCCAACGCCAAGCTTCATTCAGCTCATCATAACCATAGACTGAGTCTAAGTCAATGATGAGCCTGTTGGTGTAATGAATGAGCGCGTGGCAATCATGCTCTTGCCTCCCTTCAGCACAAATGTGCATTCATAGTCATATGCATTCATTAACGAATGATGAAAGCGCCAGAAAGTATCAAGAACAATTATCGAACTGGAGTATGATCCCAATGGTTCGTCACAATAAATGTCCCTGGCCGTCCGTGGCCTCAATAAATTCATTGCAAGTGTTGAAAACATGAACATGATATGCTTGAACAGGAATTGACTTGAAGCAACCACAGGAGCACCAGACAGATTCTATAGATCTTGGCAGGCGGACGTGGCCTCAAATGCCATCAATGCAGCGAGGAGTCGAAGCCGGGAAGACACAAAACAAAGCCGTCGCCACTTGGGAATTAAAGGAATTAGAATGGGTGTTACAAAAGAATTGAATGGAACCGGCTTTGTTTTTGATATGGACATATCTCATTATTGTTCGTTTCTCAGGAGCTACAAATGATTCTCCAATACTTGTATATGTAATTTTGTTGGGACTGAGTGATGCTGCTGGGTATTTTTTTGTTGCAGAGACCAAGTTGCAGCTTTCAAGAATTTCAAAGGACCCTCCTTCTAGTACGCTCTCTGTGGGTTTGTAGATTCAACTACTTCCCTGGACAACATAACTGTTCTATAGCGATGCTGGTGGAGGGCTACTAATTCTAAGGTAACGTGAATAAGCTGCCCTTGTTTTGTCAATTCCCATGTTTCATACACTAGCACTAATCAAGCTCGCAGCTTGAGGAGTCTGTCCAAGATGTTCAGATGATATTCTAGGGGCACGCGCAGCTGGATGATTAGCATGCCACGGCATGCCTTTAGTTTGCTTGTGAGCCCTGAGTTTTTAAATCATGGGCCTCGCGCTTGGCTCTTGGAGTTTGCGTGATTGAGCTTGGTAGATCTTTGCAGAAGGACTAGTTGTTGCAAGTAGTGACTCAGTATAGGTAGGGTGTTTGTCATGTTATTCTGTCAGGAAATCATTCACCCCGTTCTCCGGAAGGAGCCAGGCAAAGCCAGTGATGATTACGATGTAAGCTGTTTCTGCCAAAGGCAGCAGAAGGACACCGAGTTGTATACGTGTAAAGGTTGGTGAATACAGCGTGCTGCCGGGGAAGATTGTCAATAATGATTAATGATGTCAACTTTCAACCAATGAAGAATAGCTTCTTTTGGCCGAGGCTGTTCCAAGTTCTATCAATCAATTGGTGATGAAGAACATTATTAACATAATTCATAAACGAGCTTTCGCAAATGCTACAAAAATGGTATATCCATGTATATCCTTTGCAAAGCTGGTCTCGATGCCAAGAGTGTTCCGGTGAAAGCAGCCTTCCGGGATCAGTAGAAAGGACATGTTTCTTTTTTTTGCATACTGGGCGGCAGTGTTGGTTCAAGTCTGATATAAAACAAACGGATAGTATCAGTACATCCATCATGTAAAATGTATAGCGAGATGAAGATTCTTCCTTTAGAAAGGCAAAGCAGTATGCAGTAAAAGATATATGTTTCCTGAAAGCGCATGGAGCACATTCTTGTCAGGTGTTGAATTGCTGAGTGTGTTTAGTGACGCGCCGCACAATCCCAGCGCAATGACGTTGGGAACCCAGTCACTTGCTGGGATCCATGACGTTGTCTCAACACTTTTTGAAGCATCCATCATCCGAGCTTGACAAGGACACCAAGATGTCCTCTTGCAATTTGGATATAGTGTATTTCAATGACCCAGCTGCGTGGAAACCGCATTGGCATTGGTTATCTAAAGCCGTTCAAGAGAACGAATCTTCGGTCAGCAAATCTAATAATTTGCTAGCTGCTAGCCAGAATCCGGTGGTATAAAAGGATCGAGGTTCTGAACATGTCCAGCATCTTCCAAACTAGCAGGTGACGTGTTGCACCTTCTAGCTGCAATTGCGTGTGCATTTCACTACTGATGTTAACTGTGCTGATATATAGACTGGCTCAGGTTTGTGCTTTGGAGTTTGTTCGAATCACACAAATTGTTTTGCACTCCGGAACAGAAAGTCCGTAAGCATGTTCCAAATGAATTATATAAGCAGTGAAAGTTTGTAGTACAGTATGCTAAAAGGAAAGGATTCCAAAATGCCTTGCTGCAATCATTCGCCACGCTCAGGCCTAGGCCAGGAAAAGTTGAGGCCGGCAGGTACGGTAAATGAGGGCACCAGGCAAGGTTGAAATGTGCCAAAGCAATCAAGTACTCGTATGTGTCCCCCTTGCAAAATAAGGTTCACATTTATCAACTTGTATTTATGCCAGAGAAGAATAGTTCAATATAGCAATATGGCGCCATGCAATAGACACCATCAATGCTGACATGCCAGCTTCTTCTCTTCCATGCTCCAGCTTTTCTAGTCTAAAGCAAGAGTTGGCTTACCCAAGAAGTGGCTGCGTTGGTGCCCAAAAATATAGCAGCACCCTTGTGCAACTGTTAGAGGATCTTGGGCGTCTCTGGATGTGTTTTTCCAGGATTGGGTTGATCGGCAGGGGTAGGAAAAAGAGGGACACTGCTTTTGAGTGTTGCACATGCCTTCATGTATACCCATCGAACTGCAAGTTTGGCATGTGTCCATGTCGTTCGAACCTCACGACCCTGTGACCGCAGGGCCCTTGAGCTATGCTCGAAAAGACGCAGACTGTGCTGCGCATGACCCCCTAGCGTGTGAACCCGCTATCTTGCATTGGCAGCGGAGCGATTCGATCGCCGTGCTCGCTGTCCATGCCGGCCGCTGCTGACCTCTTCGGCGCTGCTGGCGACCGCCATGAAGGCGATGATGACGATGACGATGGAGCACTACCCCCTGAACTACCTGAAGAAGGACTTCATGGTGGAGATAGCTTCAACGAGCCGGATGATGAAACCGGTGACACCTACCCCGAAGACGATGACGAGGACCTGGCTGAGGCCTACGGCACTGGACCTCTTCGAGGACTTCGTCTTGGTCGGAATGGGCCCCGTCAGAGCCCCTCTGCTCCCCGAGCGTCCGGCTCAGGAGCAGGCAGTTCGCCTTCGAGCACCCGTTCGAAGGCAGCTCATGAGGATGGAGGACCACGACATCGACCACGAGGCAATCTGCCTCAGGCCCCGGCCTTCGATGGAGACCGGAAGAAAGATGTCAAATGCTTCAAGCATTGGGTGCAGAAAGTCGACTCGTACATCGAGATCGCCAAGAAGATCATCGACGACTCGGAGATCGGACTTCGCCTCCATGCTGCATTAGAAGGTGATGCAGCCGAGTACTTGGAAGACGTGCCTGCCCGCACGTTCGGAGTCCCTGAAGGCTGGCGCATCCTCATCCACGTCTTGCAGGAGAAGTTCGACGAGAAGAGGATGCACAAGGTTGGCTCTGCAATGCGCGGCTTCTTTCGGATGACCGTCAACGACAAGAGCAGGACCTTGGCTGAAGTTGGCGACATGCTGGACAAGGCTGCGAGGCAGTGCAAGGAAGCCGGCTTGGTGATCCCCGACGAGATCATGACCTACAAAGATGAGCCCCCCTAGTTAAAACACTTGTAACTTACTTGGTGAAGTTACAAATTACTTAAAGCTAAGTTAGCCGGAGGGCTTCGTAAGTAAGATGTAACTTAAATGTAACTGTTTTTAAGTTCTATAAGTTCTAATTGGTGATTTTTGATGTTCAAAAACTATGTTTTTTTCAGGTTTCCCAGTAGCAAGGCCCAAACCGAAGGACATCGAAAAACTATGCTTTTTACCTGGGAAAGCGCTGCTGTTGCAAGGGTTTTTAATGTAGAACACTCACCGCGCCGCTTTGCTGAAGAAAAGCAAAAAGCAAAACAAAAAAAAGCAAAAAATGCGCTTCGAATTTCTTCGGTGGACCACCACCGCGCTAAAAGAAAAACACTTTCTACTTTACACCATCAAAACGCATAAGAAAAACAGAACACACACAATGACCTACATCTGTGTGTTAGGAACACGCTGGGCGGTGGTCCGTCCAAAAAATTGAAGGCGATGGTCCGTCCAAAAAATCGAAGGCGGTGGTCCGTCCAAAAAAGTTGATGGCGGTGGTCCGTCCAAAAATTTTGATCGCGGTGGTCCGTCCAAAAAGTTGTGGCCGGTGCCCAAAAAACGCGGTGCACCCTGATGAACAAGAGGCTATATGTACAGTAGATGTACGGTAATGTACGGTAATGTACGGTAGATGTACGGTAATGTACGGTAGATGTACGGGAATGTACGGTAATGTACGGTAGATGTACGGTAGATGTACGGTAGATCTCCCGTACATCTACCGTACATGTACGGTAGATGTACGGTAGATCTGCCGTACATCTACCGTACATCTACCGTACATTACCGTACATTCCCGTACATCTACTGTACATATAGCCTCTTGTTCATCAGGTTACATCAGATCTTTTGAGGGACTGTGTGTGTGTGCGTCTTGTGATGCGTCACGGACAGGCAAGGATCTACTCCTCAATTTTGGGGCGTGATCCAGCTTAATGGCTTCTAGTTGTTCCATGGCCTACATAATGGATTCGTTACACTATATTCTACTACGTGTGCGTGTTGCATATTTACGTGTTTCTGTGTGCAAAGTACTACTCTGTCGTACGGGTGGACCACCACCCCACAAATTTTTCACGACTAAAACATAAAAAACAATCGCGCCCATAAAAACAGAAAAAATGTTTCCAAAACAACACAAAATACAAAGATGTGCTAATCAGTCTCAGTTCTACACAAAAAAGAAGAGTACACCAAAAAAACATTGAAAAACGCTTCTCTGCAAACCCGTCCACAAAAAACATAGTTTTTTCAATGCAAAAACCTAAGTTCCCTAAGTAAGTTGTAAGTGATTTAGCACTAATTTAGCACCCTCCAACATAAACTAGGATAACTTACTTATATATATCGAAAGTAATTTGTAACTGCAACGTAAATACCACCAAGAACTTAGAACACTTCACAATCTTAGACCAGCTTACAACATCAGTTAACCCATGTTATAACATATGTTACGGCACTTTACAAGTTCTCCAACTAGGGGGGCCCATCTTTGTACATGTTCTTCGAGCACACCAATAGCAGCTTGGAGCGACAGGCCAACATCCTGTTGCGGACCGGAGGCGGCTATGAGTGGAAGAAGATCAAGGCCGCCGTGGACCTCCTCTACCCTCAGACCTATGTCAACGCTCGCCGTGGCGCTTTTGACCAAAACACTGGTCGCGGCTATGGCAAGTCAAGGACAGCGCACGAGACTCAGGGCCACTGGGATGGCAATGAGACCTACGACACCGAGGTCGACCTGGAGACATGGCTCCCGTTCAGACAGACTTGGCGGACGCGGACGTCGAGTACCTCCCCGAGGACCTTGCCCGACAGTTGCATGAGGTGTTTGCTACACACCGTGAGAACAGGCAGAAGCTGGCGCAGGCTGTGAAGGCCAGAGGCTTCTACCTGAAGAACAGCCACGGCAAGGGCCGCGGCAAAGGCTTTGGTAAGACCAAGGGCAAGGGCAAGGGCAAATCTACCTCCTCTCCTTCGACTTCGCGACCTTCCAAGGGTTCTTCGAGCTCTGGCAAGGGCAAGGCCCGTGGCATGAGCCTGGATGAACTCAAGAAGATCACCACTTGTGGTGAGCAGGGTCACTGGAAAGGTGATCCACAGTGCAAAGGTCCCAAGAAGGCGCACGAGACCAGCAACTATGACCTCGACTATGAGGACGCTGCAGAGGGCTGGGACGATGCCTTTTGGGATGGATGGCAGGAAGATGAAGAACACCAGCGTGAAGGTTGGATGACTGGCGGTGGCTACGACCAGAACGAGCTCTACAGCCAGAAGATGCCAACTACTTCGTCTCCTAAGTCTTCCGACTACAATGCACAGGCGAAGCCAACAAATTCGTCAACCGTCTACCGCACTCAGAAGGTGGACAAGTCCGACATCAAGCTGGAAGCCCAAGACGCCTTGGAAGTGGTGCGAGACATCAACCGCATGAAGCGGAAGGTTCGCTCAGCAGAGCCAGATCCGACTGGCGAAGGGCAGAAGACCGAACCATCCAAGGCTGCATCCGTCCTCCTGGCCGAGCATGCCCGCAGCAAGGACAAGCCCTTCGACGTCTTCACCGCGACGGCAGAGGTGCAGAAGCACATGGATGAGAAGCGGATGAAGGCTCGCGGCCATGCATCGACTGCGCCGGAGGCCATCAAGGAAGCACGAGAACGTCTTGGACTCCCTCAAGCAGATGACGACCTTGGCTTCTCAGTGTGGGATTTACTACGCCCACCGTCTTCCTCCTCGGCAACCTCGGATGTCGACTTGGACAAGCTACGAGTGGTGCTGACAGTCAATGTGGAGAGACCACATCGCGAAGTACCAGCACACGGATTTCCTGGAGAATGCCTACCTCGAGGCCTTCCCCACGATCGACCTCTACCTGTTCACATGGTGCAGCACTCCCCCATTGACTATGACATCACCTCGGACGAGGACGACATGACGGAGATCACTTGGTGCAACCCTCGTGGCGCATTGAGCAACACGAGAATGAGGCCTACCGTGCAGAAGAACGGCGCCTACCTCACCATTGACACTGCATGTGAGAACACCGTTGGTGGCCTCACCCAGCTCCGACATGTCGCGGAGATCTTGCAGCGCAAGTTCGAAGTCCGGCCCCTGATCACTGAGGAGAAGGAATCCTACAGGTTTGGTCCTGGAGATCCTCGCACCTCACTTCACCGTTGGCACGTGCCGGTAGGCATCGGTGGACGACCGACAGTGATCAAGACGTCCACTCTGGACGACGCGGACCCCAACAGCGGCAAGATCCCCTGGCTGGCTGGACAAGACTGGCTGAGGCTCGTTCGAGCCGTGATCGACGTTGGAGAGCAGAAGATCTACCTCAAGGCCTTAGACGCCGCTGCGGATCTTTTTGTAGACCACACCGGACATTTGGTTGTGGCAGTTGATGATTTTCCGGCTGCAGGCTGGCCACAAGACCGCACAGCATGCCATGACGGCTACGCTGGAGTCCTTTGGGCCACAGGAAAAGTCTATACGCAGCCCTCCAACGTGAGCGCCCATGTCTACAACGCTGAGGATGATCCCTTCTCTGATGGCGTAGTCACTATGAGGTCTCCATGCACTATACAGTCAGATACATGGGAATAC